AATCCCTTATCAGACATATGATTTGCAATCGTTTTCTCCCATTCCATGGGTTGCTTTTTCACTGTGTTGATTAATTCCTTTAACATGCAGAAGTTTTTAAGTTTGATGTTATCCAATTTTTCCATTTTTGCTTTTTTTGCTGAAATCCTTTTTGAAGGCATTGGAAACCCAGGACAGTGAGGATTTGAGGAACTGAAATTCAGGAGAGATGATCCAAAAAGTTGAGCTTGACATTTGGTACCACATTTCACCTCACGACATCTGCTGATTTGTAATGTGGAAGCTGAGAGTTGATGAGGCTGGGGAGCAGAAAGCAGTAGCTGAGAGGTGGAAAAACCCATCAGGTTTGGCAGGCCCTGCCGAGCACCCCTGCAAAGCTATACTCTAGGACTGAGGTGATAACAGAAATAGATGAGCTCTCACAAAGACAGAAACCCCGTTTCAAATCAGAACAGTCCTAGACTGGGTTAAAGTAATCTGCCCCTACACTAAGCGCTTTCCAGAACAAATAGTAATCCCCTCTGAAGAAAGATGACATCATTCAGAGCCTTAACTTATCTTTACAATTTTTCATGCATAAAGGTCAGGATGCACTAAAAAAATTATCAGCTATACCAGGAAATAAGGCCAAATGATGGAAAACCAAGAGAAAAAGAAACAAAACATAACAAAACAAAACATCACCAGACAACAGAAAAGAAACCCACAGGAAATCCAGATATTGGAGTTACGTCAGGCTTCTTGACATCCTATATTTACTGTAATTATTTTGCCATGTTGGTCAGGCTGGTCTTGAACTCCTGATCTCAGGTGATCCGCCCATCTTGGCCACCCCAAATGCTGGGATTACAGGAGTGAGCCACTGTGCCCAGCCTAGATTACCGTTATATCTAATTCCCTGAATTCTGGTTGGACTGAGTGCTCAAGCCCTGTGCTTCCATGGTGTTTACCACTTCGAAGTTATCTATTGACATAATTAAAATGTGTCAGGGACTGTGCAATGTGGGAATAAATCATGGTCCCTCATACCAAAGAGTGGATGGTCTGTATTAGGCTGAATAACAGGTGCCCAAAGATGTCCATGTCCTAATCCCTAGACCCTGTGAATATGTTACCTTACATGTTTAAAATGACTTTGCAGATATGATTAAGGTAAGAATTTTGAGATAGGGAGATTATCCTGGATTATCTGTGTGAGCTTGATGTAATCACAAGGGTCATTATAAGAGGAAGGCAGGTGAATCAGTCAATAGTGGGAAATGTGATGGCAGAAACAAGAAGTTCAAGTAATGCACGGAAGCTGAGAAAAGTAAAGAAACAGATTCTGAGTGTCCAAGAGGAACCAGCCCTACTAACACCCTTACTTTATCCCAATGAGACTGATTTTGGCGTTCTGACCTCTAGAACTAGAAGATAATAAATTTGTACTCTTTTAACCACTAAGTTGGTGACAATTTGCTACAGCAGCAATAGGAAACTAATACATAACTTAATAGGGAAGATAATAATGTCAAATTATCTTCTGGGACAAATTACTAAGTGAAATATCTCTAGTGAGTTATTGCCATAGAATTTCTATTGCAGGAAGAAGATTTTATTTATTTTATACTTTATTTATTTATTTTAAACTTTTATTGTAGGTTCAGGGGTACACGTAAAGGTTTGTTACATAGGTAAACTCATGTCATGGGGGTCTGTGGTACAGATTATTTCATCACCCAGGTATTAAGTCCTGTACCCAACAGTTATCTTTTCTGCTCCTCTCTCCATTCCCACCCTCCACCCTCAGTTAACCTCCAGTGTCTGTTGTTTCCTTCTTTGTGTTAATGAACTTTCATCATTTAGCTCCCACTTATAAATGAGAACATGTGGTATTTGATTTACTGTTCCTGTGTCAAGTTTGCCAAGGATAACAGCCCCAGCTCCATCCATGTTCCTGCAAAAGATAGGATCTCATTCTTTTTTATGGCTGCATACTATTTTCATGGTGTATGTGTACCACATTTTAAAAACCCAGTCTGTCATTCATGGGCATTTAGGTTGACTCCATGTCTTTGCTATTGTGAATAGTGCTGCAATGGGAAGATACATTCCCATGCATGTATCTTCGTGGTAGAATGATTTACATTCTTCTGGGTAAAAATCCAGTAATGGGATTGCTGGGGTGAATAGCAGTTGGAAGAAGACTTTAAATGTAAATTAAGAAACAAATTCACCGGCCGGGCGCGGTGGCTCAAGCCTGTAATCCCAGCACTTGGGAGGCCGAGACGGGTGGATCACGAGGTCAGGAGATCGAGACCATCCTGGCTAAC